GCGCAAAAGTGCATTCGCAACAACGTTCTTAAAAACACGAACTACAATACTAGGACTTTAATACGCATCAACAAACAACAGCAAAAACACTAGATAAAAATGATACAGTGGAGTGTAGAAATAAAACTCTACGTTTACGTTTACGTGGATTTTTTTTTTTTGGATTAATTTATTTTCTGTTTGAATTGGTGGATTTTGTATCTTATAGGTACAAATCGAAAATTAGGTGTCTAGGAAGCAAAAATGATCAAAGAGAAAGAAAAGATTTGCAATTAGGAAAATAAAATCAAATTAGAAAAGAGAATCCCTCAAAATCTTTGGTAGTGTACGTTAACGATGTCGAGCATAACTTTCTCATCCAGACTCCAAATCAACTGGTTCCGGCGGCATCAGAAAGCTATTTCAGCTAGCTACAATTCCTGTCGAACGTGAAAAATCCAAATTCGGACTCGAACATGGTCAAAATTAGATTCCAAAAGCGCTCATGAAAATATGTACTACAATTCGAGGACATGAATGCGCATCAAGAAACGTGCACAAAAACTCTCGCTAGAAAGATACGCACATAAGTAAGTGTACAAAAGCATGCACAAAAGTACTCACGCAAAAGTGCATTCGCAAAAAGGATCATGAAAACACAAACTACAATCCTAGGACATTAATACAAATCAACAAACATGCACAAGCACACTCGCTCAAATGGACATGCACAAACGTACATGTAAAAAAACATGCGCAAAAGTGCATTCGCAACAACGTTCTAAAAAACACGAACTACAATACTAGGACTTTAATACGCATCAATAAACAACAGCAAAAACACTAGATAAAATAGATACAGTGTAGTGTAGAAATAAAACTCTACGTTTACGTTTACGTGGATTTTTTGGTTTGTATTAATTTATTTTCTGTTTGAATTGGTGGATTTGATATATTTTAGGTACAAATCGAAAAATAGGTGTCCAGGAAGCAAAAATGATCAAAGAGAAAGAAAAGAGTTGCAATTAGGAAAATAAAATCAAATTAGAAAGAGAGATTCCCTCAAAATCTTTGGTAGTGTACGTCCACGAAGTCTAGCATAACTTTCTCATCCGGACTCCATATCAACTGGTTCCGGTGGCATTAGAAAGCTATTTAAGCTGGCTACAAATCCTGTCTAACGAGAAAAATCCAAATTCAGACTCGAACATGGTCAATATTGGATTCCAAAAGCGATCATGAAAATACGTACTACAGTTCGAGGACATGAAAGCGCATCAAGAAACGTGCACAAAAACTCTCGCTAGAAAGATAAGAACATAAGTAAGTGTACAAAAGCATGCACAAAAGTACACACGCCAAAGTGCATTCGCAAAAAGGATCATGAAAACACAAACTACAATCCTAGGACATTAATACAAATAACCAAACATGCACAAGCACATTCGCTCAAATGGACATGCTGAAACGTACATGTAAAAGAACATGCGCAAAAGTGCATTCGCAACGACGTTCTTAAAAACACAAACTACAATACTAGGACTTTAATACGCATCAACAAACAACAGCAAAAACACTAGATAAAAATGATACAGTGGAGTGCAGAAATAAAACTCTACGTTTACGCTTACGTGGATTTGATTAATTTATTTTCTGTTTGAATTGGTGGATTTTGTATCTTATAGGTACAAATCAAAAATTAGGTGTCCAGGAAGCAAAAATGATCAAAGAGAAAGAAAAGAGTTGCAATTAGGAAAATAAAATTAAATTAGAAGAGAGAATCCCTCAAAATCTTTGGTAGTGTACGTCCACGAAGTCGAGCATAACTTTCTCATCCGGACTCCAAATCAACTAGTTCCGGCGGCATTAGAAAGCTATTTCAGCAATTCCTGTGTAACATGAAAAATTCAAATTCGGACTCGAACATGGTCAAAATTGGATTCCAAAAGCGATCATGAAAATACGTACTACAATTCGAGAACATGAATGCGCATCAAGAAACGTGCACAAAAACTCTTGCTAGAAAGATACGCACATAAGTAAGTGTACAAAAGCATGCACAAAGTACACACGCAAAAGTCCATTCGCAAAAAGCGTCATGGAAACACAAACAATAATCCTAGGACATTAATACAAATCAACAAAAATGCACAAGCACACTCGCTCAAATGGACATGCACAAACGTACATGTAAAAAAACATGCGCAAAAGTGCATTCGCAACAACGTTCTTAAAAACACGAACAACAATACTTGGACTTTAATACGCATCAACAAACAACAGCAAAAACACTAGATAAAAATGATACAGTGGAGTGTAGAAATAAAACTCTACGTTTACGTTTACGTGGATTTCTTTTGTTGGATTAACTTATTTTCTGTTTGAATTGGCGGATTTTGTATCTTATAGGTACAAATCGAAAATTAGGTGTCCAGGAAGCAAAAATGATCAAAGAGAAAGAAAAGAGTTGCAATTAGGAAAATAAAAACAAATTAGAAGAGAGAATCCCTCAAAATCTTTGGCAGCATTAGAAAGTTGTTTCAGCAGGTTACAATTCGTTTCTAACCGGAAAAATCCAAATTCGGACTCGAACATGGTCAAAATTGGATTCCAAACGCGATCATGAAAATACGTACTACAGTTCGAGGACATGAATGCGCATCAAGAAACGTTCACAAAAACTCTCGATAGAAAGTTACGCACATAACTAAGTTTACAAAAGCATGCAGAAAAGTACTCACGCAAAAGTGCATTCGCAAGAAGGATCATGAAAACTAAAAACTACAATCCTAGGACATGAATACAAATAACCAAAGCACAAGCACACTCGCTCAAATGCACATGCACAAACGTACATGAAAAAAAACATGCGCAAAAGTGAATTGGCAACAACGTTCTTAAAAACACGATCTACAATACTAGGACTTTAATACGCATCAATAAACAACAGCAAAAACACTAGATAAAATAGATACAGTGGAGTGTAGAAATAAAACTCTTCGTTTATGTTTACGTGGATTTTTTTTTTGGATTAATTTATTTTCTGTTTGAATGTGTGGATTTGGTATCTTATAGGTACAAATATAAAATTAGGTGTCCAGGAAGCGAAAATGATCAAAGAGACAGAAAAGAGTTGCAATTAGGAAAATAAAATCAAATTAGAAGAGAGAATCCCTCAAAATCTTTGGTAGTGTACGTCCACGAAGTCGAGCATAACTTTCTCATCCTGACTCCAAATCAACTAGTTCCGGCGGCATTTGAAAGCTATTTCATCTGGCTACAATTCCTGTCTAACTTGAAAAATACAATTTCGGACTCGAACATGGTCAAAATTGGATTCCAAAAGCGCTCATGAAAATACGTACTACAGTTCGAGGACATGAATGCGCGCATCAAGGAACGTGCACAAAAACTCTCGCTAGAAAGATACGCACATAACTAAGAGTACAAAAGCATGCACAAAAGTACTCACGCAAAAGTGCATTCGCAAAAAGGATCATGAAAACACAAACTACAATCCTAAAACATTAATACAAATCAACAACATGCACAAGCACACTCACTCAAATGGACATGCACAAACGTACATGTAAAAAAACATGCGCAAAATTGGATTCGCAACAACGTTCTTAAAAACACAAACTACAATACTAGTAATTTAATACGCATCAACAAAGAACAGCAAAAACACTAGATAAAATAGATACAGTGGAGTGTAGAAATAAAACTCTACGTTTACGTTTACGTGGATTTTTTTTGGATTAATTTATCTTCTGTTTGAATTGGTGGATTTGGTATCTTGTAGGTAAAAATCGAAAATTAGGTGTCAAAGATGCAAAAATGATCAAAGAGAAAGAAAAGAGTTGCAATTATGAAAATAAAATCAAATTACAAGAGAGAATCCCTCAAAATCTTTGGTAGTGTACGTCCACGAAGTCGAGCATAACTTTCTCGTCCGGACTCCAAATCGAATGGTTCTAACGGCATTAGAAATCTATTTCAGCTGGCTACAATTCCTGTCTAACGTGAAAAATCCAAATTCGGACTCGAACATGGCCAAAATTTGATTCCAAAAGCGATCATGAAAATACGTACTACAGTTCGAGGACATGAATGCGCATCAAGAAACGTGCACAAAAACTCTCGCCAGAAAGATACGCACATAGGTAAGTGTACACTTCACCACAGACTGTCATCGATAGCGTTTGAAAAACGCTATCGTAGCCTATGATAGCGTTTTTGAAAACGCTATTTCTGCCGGAGCTATAATAGATATCGGAGATTTTATAGCGTTTTCTTGTCGCTATGGTAAAAGCACTACAACAGCGCACCGCCAATGTTATGTTAACTTCGATAATAGCATTTGTAATGCGCCATAATAGATTCTAACATAGCACCAAACTGACGCCATTTTAATTTGTTTAATAGCGACTAAGTAATGCTATTACAAATACTATAACGGCAAATATCTTGCGCTATTGTACATTTTTTAAGAGCGCGTATGAAGTGCTATAATAAACTATATTATGACTACTGTAGTGTGCTATGGTAAAACTCTAAAAAATCACACTGTAAACGCTATTATATGCTGGTTCAATCTTTTATAGCATTTTCTTTGAGCTGTGGTTTTCAATTAGGTGCTATGGTTTAATCTTTTATAGCATTATATATCCCTGTATTATTCACTATTGTAGCATCTCTATAATAATGTAATTAGTTATTACTATCACCATTTGCAATTGCTACAATAACAACACGATAAATCTCAATACTAAATACACATCGGATACTATGGTCCAATATGAGTAATGACTCATAAATTTTAATTAATAAAGAACAAAGTACTTATTATGTTTGACGAAGTATCCTAATAACTTTAACATCCGAGAACAGTCTAATGTGCTATTTAAAAAATAAACAATAACATAATATTTTACTCTAACATTCAGCTCCCAAAAAGATTTCTAGTGACTGCCCGTACATGTTTACTTTTCTCCATTTTCTCCTTCAATTTCCTGTAAAAGTAATTGAAAAAAAATAAATATATTTTACTCGTAAAGTACTAAAAAGAAAGAGATATATAACATTTACCTAAATCAAGTGAATAAATCGATTTGCAATCCATAAATTACAATTTCGATGACAATATCAAATTAAGTACAATACGTGATTGGAGAAAAAAATAAACTTAGAATAGAGAGAGTCGAATGGCTTACCAGTACTCTACAATATAACCACTTTATCTGTTGGCCATGCCACTGTAGTTCCTATGGCATCTTCAATAAACTCCATCTCAGATGTAGATCTCCAAAGAGACGCGGCTGGGACTTTTGCTATTTCTACCCAAACTCTCGTAGCATTAGGACCCAATGGAACAAAATGAACAACTTGACTTGGATCATTAGAGGACCATCGTCCTTCAGCAACAATTTGACCAGATCCACAAACATCCAATAACTTGCACTTTTTATTTAGATTATTGGTGTTGACACTCTAAGAAATCAAACATTTATAAATTGAGAAATATGAATATTAGATGGCCATATATAAATAATTCATGATATAACAAGCACACATTTTTTTACCTGAGGAGATGAAATATTTTCTTCTTCACTTTCTACTGTTTTCTCCAATATAACTCTATCTGCAGGCCAAGCTATTGTAGAATTGACAACATCTTTAATAAATCTCATATCAGCTGCAAGGGGCCGCCATAAACATGCTTCAAAAAATTTCGGAACATCCACCGAAACTATCATAGCATTGGGCCGAAGAGGAATGCCATTAACTAATGCATTTGGATCACTCGAATGCAAACGTCCTTCAGCAACTACTTCATCTTTCCCATTCCAATCAAGTAGTTTGCATTTATTCTTTGCATCAATCTATCAACAACAACGTATACAGTAGAAAGGCACATATGAAATAATCATAAATAACCAAGAATAATCAGTCTATATACACTTGTTATCCAAAATTGTAAGTAAACAAGAATAATTGTTAAAGGCACATATTAAAAAAAAAATCTCACCGATGCTACGAAGTTATAATTTTCTTCCTCCCCAGACTCTTCCTCAGATTGCAAAATTACTCTTTCGCTATGCCAAGCTATTGTTTTACCGCGAGACTCTTTAATAAATGTCATATTAGGTGTAGGCCTCCACAAAAATGCATTTGGCTGAATTGGAACGTTAACCAAAACTTTTATTGCATTAGGTCCAAGCGGAATTTGATCTACAAGATCTTTGGGATCAAATGATACCACACGTCCTTCAGCAACAATGTCATTTGTTCCACCCCAATCTACTAACTTGCAATCAGGTCCAAAATTAGAATTTCCACCCTACAATTAATCAACAAGATTAATACGTTTATGGTATTTTGTAAGGTATAAAACTAAGTAATGGGAATAAAAAGAACTAAAAAAAATATACTTTTGAAGATGTTTTGTCCGCCTCTTCACTCTGATGAACCTGCTACCACAAATTATGATATAATTAAATAAAGCAAAATTTATTTTTAAATTTAATATGATTAATAGTAAATTACCTTATTTTTTCCTAATGCACTAACAATGTTCTCCAACTGCTTTATCCAGTTTTCCATATGCGACACATGCTTATTATGTGCTAGAAATAATGACAACTTAGTAATTGTCATTCCTCTTCCCATTCCTCTTACTCGTCCATATTTGTCTTGCCCCAAGACTTTGGAAAGGGAATCATTCCTTATGTCAGTCCTTGAAGACGATGGTGACTCAGATTCTAATTCATTGAGCTTCTCCTGACATATAAAAAAATTTAATATGAGAAATTCACAAAAACTCGAAACACAAATTTAAACATAATTCCATAAAATAGATTAATGTGTAGTCTTACAATAGTTTCTGAAACCGCCGTGTTGATTGGTTTACCATCTTTTTTTGTGCGGGATCTAATCCAAACTTTAACCCTAGATACGGAAGTAGGATCGGCACTATTCTTTTTCTATTAAAAAAAATATTAATCTTAGCAACTAAACCTACAAAAATAAATTGTAATTAATATGAAATATGCATTACCATGTCTTCTGCCAATCGAGCCATTCCTTTTCTGCTGCATGTGTGTGAGATCTGTTTGTGCCTAATTGCCTTATATCTCTCACTTATAGTCTAAAATCATCATACATTAGTATAATAACTATGAAATTACATAATTTCAAACCTACACTAGCACTTTATTAAAAAAAAATATTATAGTATTTATACCTTAAATGCAGGACTTGTCTTTTCTTTAATAAATTTTCTCCACTCTGCTCTAGTGTGAATGTTCCTAGGTTGCAGTTTAAGTCTATCTGCTTCATTGTTTGCATCTCTTATTTGTTTAACCAGCCTTGATTTTGAGGCCCTCCATATGCATCCCATTGATTTCAATACAATTGCCTTTTGCCACTCTTCATCCAAGTCGAATCTTGCCTGTACAAGGAACATAAAGTAATAATTAACTTTTTAAAGAAAGTATATGAAAATTATATTATAATGTATGCTATAAAACACGAGTTATACTATGCATCTATAAAGAGGATATACACCCAAATACCAGTTACTTGTATGTATGATAATCATGAGACTTGAGGCCAATAACCTTGCATTCTTCCAATGACACACATTTGCCAATATTTGAGCAATAACCATCAGGTCCTTTGAAGTTATACAATCTCTCGCAAAAATTTTTTTTCTCTGATTTTGATAAGGTCCATGGAGCTGCTGGAAGGTAAGTTTTACTTCCTCGAGGTTGCGCATATAAATCCTTTCTTATTTGCATATTTTCTAAATCCTTCCGAGCATTGACCCCATCTCTTGACTTTCCACAATGTAGAATTGTACTTATTAAACTTTCACACACATTTTTCTCTACATGCATTACGTCTAAATTATGACGTAATGGAAGTTCCTATTAAAAGTGAATGCAACCCTCAGTATATATATTTTTATATAATTAAGTAAATGCAAAAGAGTATATTAATACTAACCTTCCAATATGGTAAGTCAAAGAATATGGATCTTTTCTTCCATCGCACTAGCTCATCTTGATCTGCATCATTTGTATCATTGCCAACTTCATCATCTTTGTCACCGTCTACGTTCTCATTCCTTTTTCTTTTTTGTTTTTTTAATTTTCCAAAATTATTTGGAAATTTTTCAAGAGCGGAAAAAATATTCCGACCTGTCAAGATTCTTGGCTTGCTCCCACTTTCTATATTATTATCAAACCACGATTTTTTTCTCCGATATGAATGGGAAGGCGGCAAAAATTTTCTATGTCCCATGTACGCAAATTTTCTACTATACTTTAACCATTGGTGATGTTTATTTTTCCCACAAAGAGGGCATGCCATTTTACCTTTAGTACAACATCCAGCAAGATTACCATAGGCTGGAAAATCATTTATGGTCCACAATAAAATTGCTCTAAGGTTAAAAATAGTTTTACTAAATGCATCAGATGCCTCCACTCCATTGTGCCACAATGTTTGCAAGTCTTCTATTAGTGGTTGTAAATACACATCTATATCATTTCCAGGTTGCTTTGGACCTGGAATCAATAATGTCAACATAATGTTCTCTTTTTTCATGCACAACATAGGAGACAAATTGTACGTAACTAGCATTACAGGCCAACAACTATATCTGGAGCTTAACATAGAAAACGGATTGAAACCATCAGTAGAAAGACCAAGTCTAAGATTTCATGGTTCAGTAGCAAAAGATTCCCATTTATTATTCACTAAGTCCCACGTTATAGAATCAACTGGATGGTGCATTTTTCCATCGGTACTTTTATTGCTAAAGTGCCATCTCAAATCTTCAGCCATCTTTTCAGACCTGAACATTCTTTTAAATCTCGGAATTATAGGAAAATATCTTAAAACATTAACCGGGACACCTTTTTTTATCACTTTGGTCCTCTTATTTATCTTCCATCTTGAATCACCACACTTGGGACAATTTTCCATGTCCTTGTACTCGTTTCGAAATAGGCAGCAATCGTTCGAACAAGCATGAATTTTTTCATACCCCATTCCAAACTCCTTAAGAAATTTTTTCATTAAATACAATGACTTTGGAAGTACATTATCCTCTGGAAGCAAGTCTGCTAATACACCAAGAAGTTCATTAAAACTTGTATCCGACCATCCACTATGAGTTTTAAGTCGGAATAAAGTTACAATGGCCGATAATTTATTGTATCGTGAGCCATTAGAATACAAAAGAGTTTCTGCATCTTTAAGGTTTGCCATAAAACTATCATCAGGTTTGCCTTCCATAGGCTCATTGTAGTCTTCGTTAACAAACTCACCAAACTTCACATAGTCTTCCTCCAGATAGTGGGTAGCTTTATATAAATTGAATGCCTCATTATTGACTATTTCATCTACTCTCTCTCCACTAGTCATTTGCTCTCCATGCTCATACCAATCATTTCTTTGTTTGTATTTGATGTCCATTCCTCTTGTTACTAAATGTTCGACAACAATATTACCAGATTGATGATCAACATTACGACAATCTATGCATGGACATAAGATCATCTCAGGATTTCCTAAGTTTTTTATGACGGCTTCTACAAATTTTGATGCTCCAATCTCATACTCAGGATCAACTCTAATAAAATATAAACAACAAATACATTGAGACACAAGTTATTATTAAGACGCTAAAGTTTTCAATTTTTATGGTAATAATCAAAATACTATGTTACCTGTTAAGACGCACCCAACCTTTATCATACATCATGTTCCAAGTACCACTTACACAACTAAGTATAAAAAAAAAAAAAAAAAAAAAAAAAAACTGAAAACTACTTGTGAGTGTTTAAGAGAACCAGCTGAAAATAAGATACACAATTATCAACTTAACCAACAACAACAACAAATTACCATAACAAAAACAGGTCTAAAACCAAAACCAATACAAATTTGGGTCAAAAATGATAAAACAATAACGTTTGCAGCACATTAGTATATAAATAACCAATTACAGGGTGAAATAGGTGCTTACCGTTCAAGAAAGTGGCCTCAATATCACCAACGATTCCAAGTTAAATTATCCAGATCAGATTCTCTTGACTGATGAAAGTTTAGTTAAAAATAATTAAAAAGAATTTGTTAGTTGTCACAATAACGTTATCAGTGAAATAAAAGATAACATGACATATATTTACCTGAGTTGCAAAAATATTTTAGCTGCCCATCTAGTTTTAACGACATTGATTTGATAAAACAGGCTAAATCCTTTATCTTTACTAAAACTCCTACAAAAAAAAAACATAACTAAGAATCAGTTTCGTATAAAACTGTCGGTGATAAATAGAAGCATACATATAACTTATATCCAAGAAATAACACCAATATTTTTTTTGGATAATATTATGCTTAATCTTATAAAAATAGAGATGCATTGATATTATGACAATCTTATTTTTCATTCTCAGTTTTTATAACTCTCAGAAGTTCTTTGGGTTGTATTCATTTAGTCTATAGTTTTAAACCAAATTATAGGTCTAACACTAGATGCAAAGAAATATTAAAAATCGTAGTTAAGTAGTCTTAATCTTTCAAATTATTTTTCTCCGAAAACCCGTTTGGTTCATACTTCTTTTTTTCAATTGAACAGTAGTTTATATAAGTTATATCAACAAAACAAACATCAGCAATATTTGCCAGCGATAAAATCAATTCTCAACATTCCAAATTTACAATACTGCAATTGACAAGTGCATAATGCACGAATCACCAACAAATTACAAACACAGTCAACACAATTGAAGTATGCCTCTTTCAAATTATAAATAAATAAATAAATAAATAAATAAATAAAAGAAAAAAAAATAAGAAAAGAGAAGAGAAGGGTCTGCCTCTTTCCTAAGGTTGGGAATTATGCCAGAATCACAGACTTAGAAAAACAATCAATGCTATTTTCCAAGTTTTGGCATAATAGAAGAATCACAAACTTATAAAAAAAAAAAAAATCCAACCAAATTGAAGCAAGTGTATCCTGATTTTGAAGAATTTAAATAGGAATACTTCAACATATTCAATTAAACTACCCCGTTTATGAAGAACAAAACATAAAACATATAGAAATTCATGTTAATCCCAAAAAAAAAAAAAAACAGTAGAGAGAATCGTATAATTACTTGTTTGGTAATTGTCCTCTGGTGCTCCAGCCCTCGTCGCCGTATATCCTCAAGAATTTCAAAGAATCAGTTTGAAGAGCCCTCGTGGTCGTATCTCCTCAAGAATCTCAGCAAATCGGTTTGAAGAAGAACAAATTGATTTTAGGAGTTTTCTGTGGCTATGTGGAATTAGGTTTTATGCGTGTGAAATTGAGTATTTAAGCGAAAATAGGATGTAGCTACCGACGAACTGAACGAACGCCCGAGTTTCTGCAAATCGATTTGAAGAAGAAGAAATTGATTTCTGGGTTTTTGTAATTAGGTTTATTCTTGTGAAAAGAAAAGAGGGGTTCTGTAAAGAAGATGAAGGGGACGATATATGACCGACAAAAAAAAATCAAATCTATTATATTCTATTATATTTAGGATACCGGGAAAATATTTTTTTTCCCCGCCAAAGTTTTAATAAATATTATAGCGTTTTATTTAAAGATTAGGAGCCCGATAAATTAAAAGCTATTATAGCATTTGTTTTAAGCAATTAAAAAATTAAATATGAAACAATAGCACCTAACAAATAAACGCTATAATAATATGCTATCAAAAGTATATATTCTTGTAGTGGTACAAAAGCATGCACAAAAGTACACACGCAAAAGTGCACAAAAGTACACACGCAAAAGGATCATGAAAACACAAACTACAATCCTAGGACATTAATACAAATCAACAACATGCACAAGCACACTCGCTCAAATGGACATGCACAAACGTACATGTAAAAAAACATGCGCACGTGTACGTCCAGGAAGCAAAAATGATCAAAGAGAAAGAAAAGAGTTGCAATTAGGAAAATAAAATCAAATTAGAAGAGAGAATCCCACAACGTCTTTGGTAGTGTACGTCCACCAAGTCGTGCATAACTTTCTCATCCGGAGTCCAAATCAACTGGTTCCAGCGGCATTAGAAAGCTATTTCAGCTGGCTACAATTCCTGTCTAATTGGAAAATTCCAAATTCGGACTTGAACATGGTCAAAATTAGATTCCAAAATACGTACTACAGTTCGATTACATGAATGCGCATCAAGAAACGTGCACAAAAACTCTCGCTAGAAAGATACGCACATAAGTAAGTGTACAAAAGCATGCACAAAATTACTCACGCAAAAGTGCATTCTCAAAAACGATCATGAAAACACAAACTACAATCCTAGGACATTAATACAAATCAACAAACATGCACAAGAACACTTGCTCAAATGGACATGCACAAACGCACATGTAAAAAAATATGCGTAAAAGTGCTTTCGCAACAACACTCTTGAAAACACGAACTACAATACTAGGACTTTAATACGCATCAACAAACAACAGCAAAAACACTTGATAAAATAGATACAGTGGAGTGTAGAAATAAAGCTCTACGTCTACGTTTACGTGGATTTTTTTTTTGGATTAATTTATTTTCTGTTTGAATTGGTGGATTTGGTATCTTATAGGTAAAAATCGAAAATTAGGTGTCCAGGAAGCAAAAATGATCAAAGAGAAAGAAAAGAGTTGCATTTAGGAAAATAAAATCAAATTAGAAGAGAATCCCTCAAAATCTTTGGTAGTGTACGTCCACGAAGTCGAGCATAACTTTCTCATCCAGACTCCAAATCACATGGTTCTAGCGGCATTAGAAAGCTATTTCATCTGGCTACAATTCCTGTGTAACGTGAAAAATCCACATTCGGACTCGAACATGGTCAAAATTGGATTCCAAAAGCGATCATGAAAATACGTACTACAGTTCGAGGACATGAATGCGCGCGCATCAAGGAACGTGCACAAAAACTCTCGCTAGAAAGATACGCACATAACTAAGAGTACAAAATCATGCACAAAAGTACTCACGCAAAAGTGCATTCGCAAAAAGGATCATGAAAACACAAACTACAATCCTAGGACATTAATACAAATCAACAAACATGCACAAGCACACTCGCTCAAATGGACATGCACAAACGTACATGTAAAAAAACATGCACAAAAGTGCATTCGCAACAACGTTCTTAAAAAAACGAACTACAATACTAGGACTTTAATACGCATCAACAAACAACAGCAAAAACACTAGATAAAAAATATATAGTGGAGTGTAGAAATAAAACTCTACGTTTACGTTTACATGGATTTTTTTTTTGGATTAATTTATTTTTTGTTTGAATTGGTGGATTTGGTATCTTATAGGTACAAATCGAAAATTAGGTGTCCAGGAAGCAAACATGATCAAAGAGAAAGAAAAGAGTTGGAATTAGGAAAATAAAATCAAATTAGAAGAGAGAATTCCTCAAAATCTTTGGTAGTGTACGTCTACGAAGTCGATCCAAATCAACTGGTTCCGCCAACATTAGAAAGCTATTTCAGCTGGCCACAATTCCTGTCTAACGTGAAAAATCCAAATTCAAACTCGAACATGGTCAAAATTGGATTCCAAAAGCGATCATGAAAATACGTACTACAGTTCGAGGACATGAATTCGCGCGCATCAAGGAAGGTGCACAAAAACTTTCGCTAGAAAGATACGCACATATCTAAGAGTACAAAATCATGAAAACACAAACTACAATCCTAAAACATTATTACAAATCAAAAAACATGCACAAGCACACTCGCTCAAATGGACACGCACAAACGTACATGTAAAATAACATGCGCAAAAGTGCATTCGCAACAACGTTCTTAAAAAAACCAACTACAATACTAGGACTTTAATACGCATCACCAAACAACAGCAAAAACCCTAGATAAAAAAGTGCATTCGCAAAAGTGCATTCGCAAAAAGGATCATGAAAACACAAACTACAATCCTAAAACATTATTACAAATCAAAAAACATGCACAAGCACACTCGCTCAAATGGACACGCACAAACGTACATGTAAAATAACATGCGCAAAAGTGCATTCGCAACAACGTTCTTAAAAAAACCAACTACAATACTAGGACTTTAATACGCATCACCAAACAACAGCAAAAACACTAGATAAAAAAGATATAGTGGAGTGTGGAAATATAACTCTACGTTTACGTTTACGTGGATTTTTTTTTTTTTTGCATTAATTTATTTTCTGTTTGAATTAGTTGATTTGGTAGCTTATAGGTAAAAATCCAAAATTAGGTGTCCAGGAAGCAAAAATGATCAAAGAGAAAGAAAAGATTTGAAATTAGGAAAATAAAATCAAATTAGAAAAGAGAATCCCTCAAAATCTTTGGTAGTGTACGTCCACGAAGTCGAGCATAACTTTCTCATCCGGACTCCAAATCAACTGGTTCCGGCTGCATTAGAAAGCTATTTCAGCTGGCTACAATTTCTGTCTAACGTGAAAAATCTAAATTCAGACTCGAACATGGTCAATTTGGATTCCAAAAGCGATCATGAAAATACGTACTACAGTTCGAGGACATGAATGCGCATCGAGAAACGTGCATAAAAACTGTCGCTAGAAAGATACGCACATAAGTAAGTATACAAAGGCATGCACAAAAGTACTCACGCAAAAGTGCATTCGCAAAAAGGATCATGAAAACACAAACTACAATCCTAGGACATTAATACAAATCAACAAACAT